ACATTAATCATTTTCTTATAGTATATCATATCTACCATACTGTTGGCACACGAAATCATTTTCGAAGGCAAGGTCTTATCTTCCCTACTGATCAAGTTACCATGGCAGTTCAAGCATTATATCTCAGGTGTAACCTTTGCTGTTTGTACCCCCACCCCTCTCAGTTTTTGACCTCCTCTGTCCCAGTTCAGTCAGCCTTTGGACCCTTGCCTTAAAAGATCAATGTTGATGGAGCTTGGTCCGGTCCAACTGGGGTGATCATAAGGCTCATTTTGAAAGGAGTACAAATATAAATATGTAAAGTGCAAAATTTTACATTTTGTATTATTTTATATGTATTTATACTGTATATATTTGTATTTATGCTCCTTTCAAACTGAGCCTAAGGAATCATAGAGGTCAGTTTGTAACTGGGAGGGCTAACCCTCTTGAAGCAGAAGCTCTGGCAATCCTTGAAGGTTTTCATTTTTCCCGTGCTCTGGTCCTGATCCTATCTAGTTGGAAAATAAAGTGACTAAAGTTGCATTTGGTATTTCTTATTTTAAGGATTTATCTCCTTTTTCACAATTAAAATGCTCCTAATAACACAGAATTTAACAATAAAAATGAGATAAATCCTTAAAATAAAGAATGCCAAATGCAGCCTAAAAAATCCTAGTGAATCTCTTCTCTTCAAGTAAAGATCGACCCTAGAGAATTCATACAACTATGCATCTCGGATTGCAAAGCTCTTTTAGCCCCTTTTAAAGCCCATATTCTGTCTTTTACATCCCGAAATTTTAATGTGGCAACGACTTCACATCCTGTGAACCCGTGAGTTCATGGGAAGTGTGAAACCACCAATAAAAAATGAGCACATTGACAATATAGAAAATCACAAACGTTAACGGAAATTCACACATTAGCCGAAGAAATTTGGTTGAACATGACACGAAAGGAGAAAATCACATTCTTTCTGTCATTTGGGATTTTTGAACTCCCACCCATTTTCTCCTCTCCTCCACCGAGCCCCAATCCAGAAGCATCTTCCACCGGCGACCTACTCACTACAAATCGACATTTGTGAATGTGAAATCTACCATCGACGATAGATTTTCAAACTCCTCCCTCCCCAAACTAGATTTCACATCTCTCTGCCTTTTCTTCTTCAACCCAAATCAAGGTTTAAAATTTTGATACGATATATCCGATACAGGGCATATTGTATCATATCTTTGAAAAACTGATACAAGATATGCATAAAAATCAAGCGTTTCGTCTTTTTTATGCATGTCGGACCCATATCGGGGGTGTATCGGGTGGGTATCAGGGGTGTATTAGGGCATATTGGGGGTGTATCAAGGCATATCGAGGGCGTATTGGGGGTGTATTAGAGTGTACTGGTAGTGTATCGATGAAAAAGATACGACCAAAAACTGAAAAAAAAATAAAGGGGAAAAGCAAGCTTTTTTCCTTGAAATAAACATTCTTTCAACCCCAAATGACCCTAAAACTCTAAACCTCATTCCTAGAGTGCTAGATTTGCAAGAAACAAGTGTGAATCGTTAATTTTTTTGAAGATTTTTCAAATTTTGAAAATATATGGCAAAAATATGTAATTTTTTTTCAATTTTCTATAATGTGTTGTGATTTTTTTTCTTGAATGCTTAAATTTATGTTGATCTACATTTCTTACATTCAAAATCACAATTTTTTGTGTTATCAATAGATTTATGGAAATTTCATGAAGATATTTGGGGAAAATATAAATTAACAAAAAATTTGAAAATATAATTTTTTTCTCTGCCTTTAAAGACTAAATATGTTTTAAATCTATGGATTTATCTATCATATCCATAGAGCAATTGAAATTTATTCCTTAATAATTATTTTTTTTATTTTTATATCTTTAGAATTAAAAAATAATTATATTTTATCATTTGATCACAATGATTGAATATATTATAATTCTATGGATGATCTATCACATCCACAAAGCAATTGAAACTTCTTTAATAACAATTTTTTTAATATATTATGATGTTGCACGATCTAGGCACTCCTAGCTGGTTGTGACTTGGCTTCTAGTTGGAACGAACGACACCTGAGAGGAAGGAGAAGGTAGAGGGTTCCCAAGGAGTTCTCCCGGTGGGAATACTCCGATGGCTAAGTTAGAACTGGAGAAATCTCAAAGAAAGAACAGAGAGTAAGAGTGTTGAAAGTGCTTAAGCTTCAATACCTTTGCTTCGTGAGGATTGGGGCTCTTTTATGTCAGAGCTCGGCCACACCTGGCATAATCGCCACTACCCTGGCCGTTACTGCCAGGGCAGGTGTGGCAGGTGTAGGTTGCGGCTACAGACTGCTATTGCCAGGTACGGACTTGACAGACGTGTCACGCTTTTCAGAGATAGCAAACAGAATGCCGCCTGGCAAGGGATCAGAGCCCTACCACCGGATCCGGAAGGTACGGATGTCAGGCAGGTTTCTTTGCAGCCTGCCGAGCTATTGCACGCTGGACCACCTGGGGCAGGTTTGTCTCGGCACCGAGGTGCCGAGATGCCTGCATTGGAGGCAGTGTTGCCCCGAGGTGCTTCTCCCTCGGGACACTTGGACAAAAACCAGGGTGCTCCCCTCTTAGGAAGGGAGAGCTCGGAGCTCCTTAGGAGGAGCTCGGGTCTCAAGGGGAGATCGGGCCCTAGGAGGAGCTCGGGATCTCCTACACTTGGTGGGAGTCAAGGTTGAACAGGTGTTAGTCCCCGGCGAGTCGCTTAACCCGCTGAGTGGCTAGTGTTGGACTCGGCGTGTCTCTCTCGTCGAGTCACGGTTGTGCTGTCAGGCTGAGCTATTCGTTGAGCCAGGTCACGCACACGTGTCCCTGTGCTATGAGGTCGGGCCAAATCACCCTCCATCATATTATATAATGTTTATTCATTTTTATAATTTTTAGAAATAAACAATAATTATTTAAATAATTATTAATTATATTTTCACTTAGAAGTTGTGCCAATGCATGTTTTATGAATATATCATAAGGCAGTTCACCATTCTTTTTTAAAGGGAAAATTCCCGATCAGTACACTATACTTTAGTTCGAGTGACAATTTGGTCCCCGAACTTTAAAATGCAACAATTCAGTACCCGAGTTTTCAAAATGTGACAATCTAATATCTATCGTTAACTAGTCCGTTAATCAGCCGTTAAGTGACATTTGAAAAGTTAAAAAAGCCCTTCGAATGCGTCTAATTCTCTTTATCAACCATCAAAATGTTGACAAAAAACTAAACAGTCCCAAAACCTAACCTCTTCTATTCAAAAAAGTTGGTGACTACTTAGAAGAATCTAGAATTTGGGACTATTCATTTTATTGTCAATATTTGGATGGTTGATAAAGAGAATTAGATGACATTCCTAGGACATTTTGACTTTTGAAGTGTCACTAAATGGTTGATTAACATACTAGTTAACGACAAAGTACTGGATTGTCACATTTTGAAAGTTCAAGTACTGAATTTTCGCATTTTAAAGGTTGGAGACCAAATTGTCACTCATGCCAAAGTACAGGATATTGATCAAGAATTTTCCCTTTTCTAAACCGATCTCTTGGGATATGTAACCTTGATTGGCAGCTAATTGAATTCCAGCCTTAATTGCTTTTCCAAAAAAAAAATAATAATAAAAAAACTACCATATTGCTTTTAAAGCCGGACTGGACCTACCGGACCATAACCAAACACCCACTAGTTCAATGAAAACTCTGCAAGGTTTCGAAGGTTTTTATCTTATAAATACATGAAATCATATACTGAGAAACATCCTAGTGCTAAAGGAGCTCCTCTAGATTAGTGGCGATTAGAAAATCCTAAGTTCAGGGTTTACCTTTTTTATCTAACGTGAACAATAATATAAAAGAGTTTAGCGTAAATTTTTTAAACTACCCTTATGATTTAGCTAATTGATTAAGTGTACTCTTACAGTTTAAAAATTGACTAACGTTACCTATTATTTTTGACAATTGATTAATACTTCTCTTTGATTCGTCATAAACCATTCAAATACGTAAAGGTGTGAATGATATTCAAATATCCGATTTCAAATTCGATATTCGGCATAATCAAATCGAATTCGGATAATTTGAATATCTAATCGGTCAAATTCGGATATGACCCAATTCGATTCGATAAATATCTAAATTTGACTGATTATTTAATTCTTATATATAATATACAAAACATTTTATATAATTTATATAAAATAATTAATTTATATATTTATATACTTTATATCAATAAAATGTTTATTTTATATATTTATTAATTATCTAAAATAATTAATTAATAGAATTCGAATCAATTCGAATATTTAATCAGATTTGAATTCGGATATTAATTTTTAATATCCGTCAGATATAAAATCGAATTCGGATATCAGATTTTCTAATCAAATTCAATATCGAATTTTCTAATTGGATTCGAATTCGGATATTAACTGATCCGATTCAAATTCGATCCGTTTACAACCCTATAAATATGCATCACGTTTCGTCATAAACCATTCAAATATACATCACATAACTGTTATAACTTATCAACTTTTGACACGGACACTGACATTTCTGAAACCCAAACCTTTCAAAGCCGACGAAACATACGAGGAATTGATGAAAGAGGGAGACGAAGGTGGCGGAACACCGCCAGTCGTTTTCCATGAGCTCCGATCGAACCACCACCTGCTCGCCGTGTCGAAAGCAGAGGATAAAAAGAAGAAAAAAGGTGGTGATTCTCTAAAATTCATCTTTCATTTATATACCGAATAATCGGCATAAAGTTACCAGAAATTCCGTGCTCTTGTCCTGATAAGGGAGACACAAATTAGTACGTCGCAAATTTGCAATTGGCTGGTCTGCCGTGGATGATAAATCCCACTGGCACTCCTAACACAGCCGTAAATATGCTGGGTTTATGCCTGTTAGTTATCCAAAATATTAATATACCTAAATTGACCTCGGTCAACGAGAAAGTGAATATCGTCATTCAATTTTGCAACTTCCTTTTCATTTGTAAGATATACATGTATTTGCGATGGGAATAAAGTAATAACACCCACTACCGAGCTTCAAGCATTGTAACTGTTACTTCGTTTATAGTGCAAGAGTCTTGTTCTTGTTTATTAGAAGTTGACATCATTTCCATGAAATTCCTTCCCAAACAAAAACCCGGTTCTTTTGGTTGTGGCATCGTTGCAGTTTCACTACTGAGCATCAGAACCACAGTTGACATTATTGGCCTATCTTCCGCACGTTCCTGCACACACAAAAGACCCACCTGTATGCATCTCAACACTTCGTATGTGTGATATGAATCGCCTACTGATGTGTCCACTAATTCCAGGGCCCTTCCTTCTTTCCACAACGTCCACGCCTGCAACATTAATTTTCTCCTCACCGTCAGGTTAGTGAAACAGCAGAAGAAGATGACCTCGCTGTGTTCATTATGCTACTTACATGTCCAAGGAGGTTATGTTGGTTGTTGGAGTAATAAAATCCTCTGTTCTTCTTACCACTTATTATTTCCAACACCAGAACACCAAAGCTAAACGCATCAGACTTCACTGAGAACAATCCGTCCATTGCATACTCAGGAGACATATAACCACTGCACATCACATCCATATCAAAGAAATACAGTTATATAACGTTGGTGATGGAGATTTAGTTTGTTTCTAAATTAAAATTTGAACTCGATCATCCGTATGTTTTATGGTACTTACTATGTTCCCACCACTCTTTTTGTATTTGCTTCAGTTTGATCTCCTCCAAAAATCCTGGCCATTCCGAAGTCTGAGATTTTGGGGTTCATATCTCCATCTAGTAGAATGTTGCTTGCCTTGAGGTCCCTATGAACTATTCTGAATCTAGAGTCTTGATGAAGATAAAGAAGTCCCCGAGCAATTCCTACAATAATGTTGAACCGCTTTCGCCAATCCAATATAGTGCTCTTTGTCTTGTCTGCGAAAAAAACCATAAAAATAGCCGGTTTAATTAGATTGTTCAGTCGAGCTGGGTCTGTCTATGACACGACTGAGTCAAGTATCAAGCAAAAACTTACTAAAAATTATTGAATCCAGACTCTTGTTTTGCATATACTCGTAGACCAATATCTTTTCTTGGCACTCGATGCAACAACCCAAAAGCCTAACAAGATTTCGGTGTTGAAGCCTAGCAATTAACATAACCTCATTTTTGAATTCTTCAGCTCCTTGCCCTGAATTCTTCGAGAGCCTCTTCACTGCAATTTCTTGTCCGTCATCCAATTCACCCTAATATATTTATATATATAATTGTAAATTCAACTCTTAAGCTTATCTTCCAGGATGCATTTGTCATATATTTAACAGAGATTCTAATTATATATATTAACAGAAAATTAACAGATATCATGGGATCTAACTTACCTTATAAACAGAACCGAAGCCACCTTTCCCGAGCTTGTTTGCATCTGAGAAATTGTCAGTGGCAGTTTCTATTGTATCAAAATCAAACAGAGGCAACTCAATGTCATCATTGTTGCTTTCATCTGAGTAACATTCCCTTGTGCTTGCTATTGCCCCATCAACTGCTTGCAAATCTTGGCTTTTCTCCCTGATACCTGTGTTCAATATGGAAAGAGTATCGTTAGAATAAAATGGACAAGCTTTGAAGAAAATCATGTATACATTAATGGTGCTCTGTTTCTAAGAGAACAACAGACTTTTTCTTCGGATACTTCTGTCCTCTGCCTTCCTCTTCCTCCATAGTGGGTGCATCGTATCTTTCTTCCATTGAGACCTGGTTTTCCTCCATCTCCATACGATCAGATAAATAATACTAAATGCCAATGCAAGCAATCCCAGACCGCCGATGATGCTAGTGATGAGAATTATTCGTCTTCTTTTGTCAGCCTTCGTGCCCTCTGCTGCATCTGAAAGTGATGACCCAGATTATCATCAGTTATACACACCTTAACAAACCTTACGATTGAGAGACTAGATATATATATATTTTTGACTTGTAAGAAACTCAAATGCTGTCAAACGCTAAGTAGACGAGGCTCCCATCCATGGAAAGTAGATAGAGAGGTCAAGGCATCCTTATCAGACCCAACATGGATGGATGGCGATTGCCATGCGCCAGTGCCTAGTCTAAACTGATAAACTCCTACCAAGCTGAGAACAGATCGCAGATCACCACTTATTAAGTGGAGAGAAAAGAAGAGAGAAAGCCCGCCTAAGTCAGACGAATTGACTTTGGCGTCAAGAGATTCTAATAGTGGGACCTAACCCGATGATCAATATAATATTTTTCTGTTGCTTTCCACCTCTTTACTAGGGCGAATCATTTTGAAACATCCGTCTCTGTAAGGAACCACAACCCAATCAATTGAAGAGCTCCAAACGCCTCTTAGCCCTTATTTACTCCTTTTGTTATAACCAACAGCAGGGTGCTTTGTTTGATCAATGTTATAAAGGCAAGTGTGACAAATGAAAATCATTGTTAATTGTTATTAAAGGCAGAAATGAATGAAAATGCAAAAGAAAAAAAAAATAGCAAAAACAATTAGGCTATGTTTGGTTTCAAGGAAAAGGTAGGGAAATCCATACAAGGTCTTCAAAGGTTTCCCTATCTCATCTTTTCTTTTCCTACTTTTTCCTTCAAACCAAACACAGCCTTAATATCTTACCCATGGCTAAATTGTTTAATTAATCAGGTAATGGAATCATTGACTGAGTCAACACTTTTTTTTATTTTATCAAATAAATGGTTTAGAGCTCGGCTAAAAGGGATTTGAAAGTTTGGCTGGATGACGAATTGACCTGTCCCAGCAGTCGATTTTACTGAGTTGAAAATCGCAATCCTCTTATAAAAGAGGAAAAAACGAAGAGCAAAGGGAGAGCATGTTGGGCGACTTGTTGGAAACGTTTGTTGGGAGAATATTCAATTTCTGATCTGAATAGGGGGGAAGCATGTAATTTAATATCTGATTGAGACAAGTGTATATTTGCCACATGTACGATAGAAAATTTCTTGGGTTTCTTTGCTTGATCGTCATACCTGCCACCACCAACTTTATCCACGTGATAGGTTGTGATTGGTCAGATGGGTCCCTTTTTCAAATCTCAAACACATGCCGAGGGAACAAAGCGATGCAATCGAGAGAGGAACGTCACTGGAATTAATTGACTGAATTAAATTCGAAAAGAAAAGGAAAACCAACTTTCGTTCTCTATCTCTTGGAAAGTTGGAATACAATGGACTAGAGTCTCGACAGGGATTTCACGAGTCATATGACCCGGTCACTTAAGCCGGCCGAGTCGACTCACTGGCAGATATATACCTATAGCAAACTAGAAAAGTGGCAAAGACCAAAATTTGAGAAGAACCACATCTAAAAAGTGAATCAAATTAAGAAGGTTTGAAGTTTTATACGCACCTAGTTCTGAAGCTGCCACCCTCACGTACAGATCTTGACCACCTTCCTGTAGGTACTCCCGAAGATCGATCAGTTCAACTACCCAAAACACACAACCGCTTCCTTCTCCGTTGATATTAGTATTCGCATAAGCTGTACAAGAACAGTTACTCCGACACTGGGTTGCGCATTCCTCAAGACTCATGCTTTCGTCTACAAATGCCTTAGAACTATCCGGCAGCTTCATCCCCTTCAGTGTTAAGAACCCATCATCCTTCTGACAGACATAGTTGGTTTTCCGAACGCACCCATCAGACCCGTCTCTTAGATCCCAAGTCTTCTGGTTTTGGGGCCGGAATCCCTGAATACACTCACAGATCGGCGATGTATTGCTGTCACAAATACCATAAGGGCCACAATTCTTGTAACCGTCACATTGGTCCTTCCGAGCGTACCAGAAAAGGATCCAGAAACTGTTAACGCCAAGCTCCCATGTATACCTTTGAAGCAAGCCGGTCGTATTTACCATTAACCTTGAAAACACCGAGCTTTTCTTGACTGTATATTTGTAATAAACCTCCTCCTCATTGAATGTGAAGTCAAAGCTTACTATGTCGTTGGACTTCATTTCTGGAACCCCACTAAATTGGATTCCATTCCAAGGCCCACTTCGGTAAATCGGGATCAGTCCTTGGAACAGAAATGCTTGTGGAAATCCATGAGGATCTATCTTGAAGGAATAATCTCCTACTGAAGGGTCGTTTGGGCTCTTCCAAGACGTCAGATAACGATTCAAACCGGTCTTCAAGTCCCAACCCAGCTTCATACCTGGCAACAACGTATCAGTGGGATAATCGAAGCTCTGCCACAAATAGTCCTGGGGATCGGTATCGCTACCATCTCTAACAACAAGATTCCCCGAGCCCAGCAGCTGGGCAACCGGATTGCGTGCCTTGGATGTTGCATTCGCTGTCCAGAAGATGCGCGCCTGTTGGTTGAGAAGAACGAGATTCCCGTCTGTGCCAATCGATAGAACTCCCGATGAATCTGGAATTGGGCTGTTCCTGTTTGCGACCCAAACTACTGTTTTAATCGGAATTTTCTTATACCATATTCCCACGTATCTGTATTTCGAGCTGCCGGGTGTGAAGAATCCTAATTCGAAGTTTCCGTCGGTGGATACAAGGGTTTGGCCGTCTTTGAGCGACAGAGTCGGAGTTATGGTGTCGACTGCGACGGAAATTTCTGAGAGCAAGGTCAGTGAAGTAATCATGAAAACGAAGCAGAGACGAAGACGGCCACTCATTTTTACCTCGCCTGAGAATGCGCGAATGTGGTTTCTCTTTTCCTTCTTGTTCAAGACATTTGGAACTCTGAGATTGGAAGGGCGGAATGACGGGCACAAACCGTTGACTGTGGATATATGAACATGAATCCGGTATTAATTAAAGCAAAAACCCTTTCTCATCTCTTTCCAGCTTTTCTATGGGGTATAGACGTATGGTCTATGGACGTAATTGACGGGGCATGGGCTGGGCTTGTTAATTAGTAAGAATGCTGAACTGAAAATGTGAATCTGACGTGGGCCAATCATGGGGAAATTGAAATTTTCATCAGTCTGACATGGGCCAATCATTATAAACCACATCAGCCTGATGTGGGTTGGTATGATTGAGCCAGTATAACCTTAGGATGCGAACTCAGTCCTCTAAAGTTGGTGACATTGTCCAATCTACTACAAAGTCCACCCACCCAATAGATTGATAAGGTTAGGTGTGATTCATCCATGCTAACTTAAATGGGCCTTGAAATTAGGCCTAAGCCAGGCATAGTTTAACAAAACGCCCATGGTCGAAAAAAAACAGGCTATTAATGAGAGTCCATCAAGAAGCCCAAGACCACCTAAGTCCGACTACGTTCCGTTCTTCCTACAGAAAGTAGTAGCATATACATCGGTCTTGGGAAATATTCAAGAGTGAAAGTAGAAGAATCTTTAATTAGTTCATTTAAAAATTAACAAAGACGCTAGACGCAACCAAACCAGCGCTTTGGTTAGTTTGTGGGTATATAGTCATATCTGATGAAAAATTCAACAAACTGAAAGCAACATTGGGAATTAGAATTTCAAAAGCCAAAAAGCTCAACTAACGCGCAGAACATCCCTTAGGCTGAGTTCGCATTCTAGCCTTGTGAGTCAAACTCGAAGCTAAATACATAATTAACAAGGAAACTCCCGAGTCATCTGATAGAATTGATCCAACCATTTCCATGCTTACGAGAGTCAGCTAAGTTGTAAAACAATTACACAACGAGTTTGTAAAGTGAGCAACCACAAAATTCAGTGGCCGAGTTACAAGTTGGCTCGTCATCTCCAGAATGCAAATTCTTTATAGAGTAGACTATGCAGACAGGGACCAAGTATCCACTTGATGTATGAGATATGATAGCAACCATCCAACTTAATCACAATTTTTCTTCCTTCCTTTTTTTTTTTTTTCCTGTGTGTGTATGTCAAACAAAGCTCCCCATAAGTTCAGGGAAGCAAAGAGTTCTGACTTCTGACTTGTGATATATTGTTATTAGCATTTTCAAGGAAGCTATTATATATAAAATCCCGGTCAGTGAAATCGTTTAATGATCGGAATCCCGTGTTAGTCCGTGAACCCATTTTAAGAATATGAAGTTTAGAACCACCAAGAAAGCAGAATTCTTGGCTAAACTAATAAAATTTGGTTTGTTGGTGTTGTCTGATGACGAATTGTTCAAAGTGTTCACATTTACCTTCCCAAATGTACCATTTCAGTCAACGCCAATCGACGATCGAGTCATTACTTACTCTCGTTAATTAGGATCCATTTTAACTTTTATGTATTTATGCCACATGGCTGCATCAACGTTATCAACAATTAAGTCATATTTGCTTAAACGCCACTAATTTATTAATATTACCCTTAGTTCCTATGACACCTCAAATTAGACAATAATAAATAAGATAAAATCTAATTAACACCACCAAGAAATAATCGTCCTCCATTGGCATATATAAAATGAATGTTGGACCTACCTCTAGCTGATCTCCTTCTAACCAAGAAATCAATTAATTAGAATGATCACCTTTTTGTTTGTTTGTTTGTTTTAAATTTTAATATTGTTATAGCCTAGCTAGCTTATAGGTGAAGAAAGATGATTGTATTTTTGGCTCAATTTAGAAAGAGTATAAATACATATAAAATAGTACAAAATGTAAGACTTTACAGTTTAGATATTTATATTTGTACTTCTTCCAAACTGAGCCAAAAGTGCAAAACCATGTATTTTCCATTATGTTGTATGTATTTGTATTGTCATATTTATATTTATACTCGTAAATTGAGTCGTTAGACTGTATTTAGTTGCAATGCAAATAAATTTGCACTGATACAAAACCATGACAGTGCAAATGATTTGACTGTAAATTCTAACCTACTTTTATTTTAAATTTTAGTTCATTTTGTTTGATTGTAATACAAATGAAATAAATTAAGACATGAAGCAGAATAAAATAAAACCCAAAATAAAATTAAACATGTTTTTGCATTTACACTCTCATGCTTTTATACTAGTGCAAATAAATTTACACTGCAACCAAACACAGCCTTTAGGAGTTACTAATTCAATTTGAGATCAAGTCTGAATTGGCTTGGCAAACATCAACACATGCATACAACCCAAAGAGTGCATGAGAGTAGATTTCTATTTCAACACTACAGAATTTAAGTCAAAACATTCCTCCAATCACCATTAGACCATCTTTAACTATGAGCATTCCATTCATGATTTATCAAGAAAAAATTTTCAAAGCAATCTGACAGCATTACATGTATGGCTTTGACCTCTCGTTGAATGCAAAGTAGTACCATCTTCTTCGTACAAAGGGAGGAGGCTTGCTGTTGCTGTGTAGACAGGGCAACGGGGAGAGAGGATAGTTTGGCGTATATCTATATCCTCGTTTCTATCTATATATTTGTCTACTAATGCTTTTGTATGGTGGAAAATCATTCATCCATACTAAATTGGAAATATTTTATTTGTACGAAAATTAGAAATACGTGGACGTTTGTTTTGGTATTAGGTTTGAATAGTGCTGTCTACCCGTCGGATGTGGTTCAGGTAAGGGTAGGCCTGCTATACCTAACCGATAAATAAATATGAAGAACAACTTCCACAAACCTGATAGGGTCTGTGATAATAAGAGACCCATAATCAACCCAACTATTAATCAAGACTATTGGATCAGATTAAAGATTCCACTATTATTCTAATATTTGACAATAAAACATTAAAACTAAATATCTGTTAAATTGACACATTTGGACAAAATAATATGATAATATAATAAGTTTAGAAAGATGGGTATTAGTAGGGATGCCCACGGTTTGATTAACCTAACCATAGATAATTTTTTCAGATTGAATCGATTTTTCTGGTTTTTCAAGTTTGAACGTTGATTGGTTTTGGTTTTTAATCAGTTCGATTCTTCGATTTTCAATTTTTTATATTTATAATATATATTATATAAAATATGTATAATATTATATTATAAATAATAAATGATATATAATATATCTAATATATTTATTAATATACTATTATAAATATAATATATGTATATATTTATATATAATATATAAAAAATATGTGACATATATTAATATATATATAAATATATATCAGTCGATTCGATTAACTGCATTTTCTGATTCATTTTTCTTGCTTCGGTTCAGTTATTCAGGTTTTTATGAACACCCCTAAGTATTAGAATGGAGGTAGATATAGATAAATGGTCAGTTTGGAACAACCAAAGCTCATAAATTATAATCAATGCATGTAATGCAGATCCGGATTCAGACCCATATCCTATACAATTGGATCAGTTTGGTTTAGTCTTGTTGGGTCTATTAAAAGTGTGAATGACATCTAGATTTTGAAACTTTGGTCTCTCTTTATTATGAGGCAAAAAAAAATGTAATCTTAACTTCTACTTTTATTAAATTTATTTTATTCTCTTTCATTAAGTCCTATATTTAAGGTATTAATAAACTTTCATTTCCTCTCATTAAGTCTTATATTTAAAGCATTAGTTCATAATCTCTCTTATTAAAATCCTAATTAAAAAGAAAATCAACAATGAATTTTCCGAAAAGAAAAAAGAATATTGGCAATCAAATAAGGAAAAGGATTCTTTCCTCTTTTGCAAGGAAAAAATTCAACAAATTCGAGCTCTAAAGCAATTGCTCTGGAGTTTGAATCAGAGATAAAGAAAGAATAAACTATATCTAGCTTCCTCTTCAGCATGAACATCCATAGGAACCATAAAAAAATCATTTGTAGAATCCTTGGCATACCCCCTTGATCCCTTCTAGTAGCAAAGAAAAATATCTGGGTGCCAAACTTTGAACAAACAGTCCCCTTATCAAGCTATATTGACAACCTCAAAACAGATATCTAAGCTTTTATTGAAAACAAGCTAAACAATTCTATTTAAGTCAGTTGTTCAAGCCCTTTCAACCCATGTCATGTCTACATCAAAATTTCCTCTTAAAGTCAATAATGAATCAACAAAGTACAATGGGATTTTTGGTTGAATGGTAAAGAACAAAGAGCTCACATCATAACTATATCATGGCCCAAATTATGTCTACCCAAGGATAAAGGCGCATTAGGGTTTCGATAGCGGTGAAAAAAAAACCGAAAAATCGAATCGATCAAAACTAAATCAAGAAATCAGTTAATCGAATTGGTCGGATTGGTTTCGGTTAACTAATATAAAAAAATGGCGGTTAGTCAAATTGGCCGATATATATATATTTCTATATATATTTATATATATTTTATATATTATAAATTAATAAATATGCATTATATATATGTTTATAATATATATTATTTATTATTTAAAATATAATATTTTATATATATTTATAATATTTTATTATATATTTATACATATTTTTATAATATATATATTATAAAAATTAAAAAACCAATGAACCAAATTAATGATTAACTGAACTGGTCAAATGGTTAACCAACTAGCTTTGGTTCGATTTTGATTACCAATTTTTCAAAATCGATAATACTAGTTCAGTTCCAAAAAATGCCCCACGGTTTGGTTAACTAAACTGTGAGCACCCCTTGGTTTCAAAATTTATACTCATGAAAATAGAGTTATCTCTTTGGAAATTAAGCAACTACCAAGAGGAAAGAACTTCATTTGCAAAGTAATCTTTGTGCTAAATTCTTGAGAGCGAAGTACTTCCCTCACTAAAGTCCTTTCAAAGCAAATTAAAGCCAAGTCAAACTCTTTTTCTTGGTGAGGGGCAGCATGACAAATAGTTCGCTAAAACCCGCTCTTCTATAGGTAAT